ACCGGCAATCTCTATAATTTTTTTTAAAATATATTTTAGTATCATTAGTTTTGCACGTGATTTTTTTCGATTTAAATTGTAACAAGTAACAAAGGGATCAAATTACAGCAAAACTAAAAGTGTAATATTTAATCAAAGTGAAATTTTGCTCAAACTAAAATGATGAATAATTTACCTTTTCCTAATTTGACGACCCTAAAAACATTATTTTTAATTGAGTTTTTAAATATTATTATCTAGCAACTAATACACATCAGCGGGGATAGCTCAGTTGGGAGAGCGTCAGACTGAAGATCTGAAGGTCGCGTGTTCGATCCACGCTCACCGCATTAATTGAAATCATTTTTGCACTAATTTATTAAATTAAAAAAAAAAAAAATTTACACTAAACTATTTTTCCCCCCCCTCTTTATGAACAGGTTTTCCTAAATTATTTTTGCACTAATTTTACAAAAAAAAAAATTAATACAAAAAAACACATGCAAAATGATGTCACTAACAATTATTTTATTAGTTTTTTATTATGAGAATATGATGGAAGTTTATATATATTGTTACCCATTACTTTGTATTTGGAACTATTTTTGTACTCATTTAGGGTGAGTTTGGGATCAAGCTAGAAAAATACAGATTTTTTTTTTTCCTAAGTTCTTTTTTAAGAAATTGTATGAAAAAAAACTTTTCAGACCTGCTTAATGTAAAAAGATCTAAAAAGAAGAAAAAAAAATCAAAAAAAGGGTTCATGAAAGGCCTAAAAAAAAAAAACAAAAGAAGCCAAAAAATAACTTATTTTTTGTTTTTTAGTGAATTTTTTTTTATTATTCTGGTACATCTAATCGAGTAGAATTTGAAAGTATAAAATTTTAAAAATTAAAAAAATAATAATTAAAGACAAAAAAAAAACCAACAAAAATGTAACTCAAAGCTAATCACATACAAACGGTTAGTAGGTGTTCTTTGATGCGAGTATCATTTTTGTTTCTTTTCAAAAGTTACTCTTTCTTTTCTTTTTCAATATATTGCAAGAGTAAAAATGAGCTTTCATAATTCAGATTAAACAATGTATATCATTTCGGATGCAGTAATAAATATTTAAATAAATATAATTTATTTAATTTAACTGAACCATTATACATAACCTCTAACAAAATGAAATGATAATAAAAAAATTCATAAGCCGACCCTACCTAATTGGGATATAACTTTGTATGATTACACATGGGTGGGCTATAGGAATGGCAACGGGCCGGGCCGGGGATTACATTCCCCATCCCTGATCCCCGAAGGCAAAAAAAATTCTCGTTCCCGCCCCCGATCCCAGCAGAGGCGCCATTACCCCTCCCCCCGCCGCCGTCCCCAT